GCCCGCGGCCAGTCCATGAAGGAATGCTGGAGGGGACTTTTTACAAGGGTCTGTAGTGACAGGACAAGGGGTAACGAACGGGTTTAAATTGAAAGCGGGGAGATTGGGATTGGGCATCATGCAGAAATTCTTCCTGGAGAGGGTGGCGAGGCACTAGGATGGGTTGCCCAGAGAAGCTGTGGATGCCCCATCCCTGGAAGTGTTCAAGGCCAGGCTGGATGAGGCTTGGAGCAACCTGGTCTAGTGGAAGGTGTCCCTGCCCATGGCAGGGGGGTTGGAACTAGATGGTCTTTAAGGTCCCTTCCAACCCAAACCATTCTGTGATTTGATGATCTAGACATTTGGGATTTTTTTTCTGTAAATGCAGTCAGAATTAAAGATAAGAAGTGCACTTCTGAAAATTCTAAACAGCCCCCCAAATATGGATTGTAATGTTGTACTTATTTTCAACGTTTACAATGGCTATTTATTTCCGCTGCAGACTGAGGCTGACCTTGCAAGAAACTTCCCAGGAAAACGTGTATCTAGCTCAAATAACACTCCTGTGTGCCGACTTCCTGCTAACCCATCACGAGTTGATCGTTTGCTTGTTGACCAGACACGAGAACATGCCAGGGTAAGGCTTCTTGAGCCGTAATTCCTGTGTTTCTTTTTGGTTTTATGCTTGTTTGTTTAACGGAGACTTATACTTAGCAATTTAGATGTTTGCTGTGTATCTGGCAGGTGCTCACATTAATAGGAAAAATGGAAAGGCTTTGTGGTACCCCCGTACACGGCAACATATCCACCACATTGGAACACCATATGGAAGCCATTCACATAACACAGGCGAGGCGTAAGGATGAGATTATTAATGCTGCTAATCCACAGAGGCAAGGAGCACCACGTTACAATAATGAGAAAGGTAACTGCTTTCCATTCTGTAATTTTAAAAGCTCTTTAAATGATTTAATGGTGAAAATGCAATATTTGCTGCGTATTTCAAATAATATATCTTCAGCAAAAAAGGATTGTAAATCTAAGCCTGTCACTTTTAAAAAGACTTTAAATTACTTTGAGATCTTTTTTTCTTTGGTTTTTTTCTGTTACTAGTTTAAACACTGAAACATTTTCCTCTTAACTGGAAGTGAACTCTAAAACCTGTTCAGTGATATTGTATAGCCGTAAGGACTTGTCCTGAAAGTAAGAATGTACTGGGTTTTAAACAAGTTTTTTTAGTGGTTTTGCAACCCTTTTTTTACCTTTAGCTTATAAAGTAAAACAAGTGTGTTGGTGCCGTGTTAATCCATTGTGTCTACCTTACCTAAATCACAAAAATGCCAGAAGTTACATTTCATGATTCCCAGACTCTGTTGAAGTAAAGCCAGAATAGCTTGTGGCAGCCAGATGTGGTGCTGCAGGACTAATGCAAAACTAGGACAAACTGCACTCCCCACTAAAAGCGTAGTGTAGGTGATAACTCGCTATTCACCGTAATGATTGTGCACCTGATACGGAATAGGAATGTGGGATTTGGAGGTAAAGATCGTATTATTTTTCCTCAGAAAATACCTTTGTTTCCAGAAAGCAATTTCCAAAGAGGAATGTACTTCCTCTGCTTCAGCCCCATCCTCTTTTGGATCCTTATTCAGCACTGTCCTATGCTGTGTTGTTTCCTGCAGTGAAGCTAACAGTGTGGTTCCTTTGCCTTCAGCAATGTCTATCGGATAGTTCTTCCTTCTAAGAATCATAGAATTGTTTAGATAGGAAAACACCTTTAAAATTACTGTGTCTAACCCAACACCACCCATTCCACCTCTAACCACGTCTCCTAAATCCCTCACAGGATGGTGACTCCACCACCTCCCTGGGCAGCCCCTTCCAATGCCTGACAGCCCTTCGTGTTGTCCTATCACTTGTTATCTGGGAGAAGAGACCCTCCCCCCCTCTGCACCCCCCTTTCAGGGAGTTGTGGGGAGCGATAAGGTCTGCCCTGAGCCTCCTCTTCTCCAGGCTGAACACCCCCAGCTCCCTCAGCCGCTCCCCACAGGAATTGTGCTCCAGACCCTTCCCCAGCTCCATTCCCTTCTCCAGACACGCTCCAGTCCCTCAGTGTCTTTCTTGGAGTAAGAGTCCTAAAACTGACCCCAGGATTCGAGGTGTGGCCTCACCAGTGCCCAGTAGAGGGGGACAATCCCTGCCCTGGTCCTACTGGCCATCACTGTTCCTGATGCCGGCCAGGAGGCAGGTGGCCTTGGCCACCTGGGCACACTGCTGGCTCACATTCAGCTGCTGTTGACCAACACCCCCAGGTCTTGAAGGGAAAAATAAACTGTGAACAGTGTCAAAATGTTTTGGTTTCACAAGTTAGGTGTCAAGTAATAGTCCTGTATGCAAACCAACTTCTAAAATTACTCCTGAAATTGTGTAGTGTGACTGTAGCTCCAAGTATAAGCCAGGAAGCAGGTAGTCATCTCACCAAACAGAAGAAAAAATCCCACAAACCATGTTTTTGACAGTGCGTTACATCTAAGGTATACGGATTAGGTGTTAAGGTGTAAGGTTATTTGAGCCATCCTGTGTCGTACTGGTAGTTAGAAATTACAATTAACCTTGTATGGTTAATGGCAAGATCTGCAGCCTAGTCATGCTTCTGAAGAAGGGCTGTGCTGCTGTTGGGTGTCTGAGCACAACCTATATCACTTTCAGAAAAGCCTTTAGTCTGTTGGGTTTTTTTGTGTGTGGTTTGTTTTTTTTTTTTTTCCTGTGAAGTACGTGTTTGAGTTCTGCTCCTGGCAACCCATATCCAAAGGTCGGCTCTGAGCCTCTTCTCAGGGTGAGGCTGGGTGGGTGTCGGTGCCACTGAAAGGAGGACAGTGGAGGCAAAAAGGATTGCCTCAAGCTCATCCATCTGGAATTTTGTAGGGAGTTTTATTAATCACACTTGTTGAGTATCACTGTAGAAAGTCCACTCTGATTAAAGAGACTTAAACAGGCTGCCCAGAGAAGCTGTGGATGCCCTATCCCTGGAAGTGTCCAAGGCGAGGCTGGATGAGGCTTGGAGCAACCTAGTCTAGTGGAAGGTGTCCCTGCCCATGGCAGGGGGGTTGGAACTGGATGATCTTTAAGGTCCCTTCCAACCCAAACCATCCTGTGATTCTGTGAATCCTTGTATCGCAGGTGTGATGGTTATGCCACTGAATTTTGGACACAATTAGGGAGTCACGCTATTAGTGTGAGATGTTACAGCTGTCGTTTGCAAGAGGAGAAAGCTAATTGACACTGTATCCAGAGAAGTGTGGCCAGCAGGTCGAGGGAGGTGATTCTGCCCCTCTACTCTGCTCTGGTGAGACCCCACCTGGAGTGCTGCATCCAGCTGTGGAGCCCTCAATATCAGAAGGATATTGACCACTTGGAGCGAGTCCAGAGGAGGCCACGAAGATGATCAGAGGGCTGGAGCACCTCTCCTATGACGAAAGGCTGCGAGAACTGGGCTTGTTCAGCCTGGAGAAGAGGAGGCTCCGAGGAGACCTCATTGCAGCTTTCCAGTATCTGAAGGGGGCCTACAAGGGTACTGGGAGAGGACTTTTTACAAGAGCCTGTAGTGATAGGACAAGGGGTAATGGGTATAAATTGAAATCAGGGAGGATTAGATTAGATGTCAGGAAGAAATTCTTCACAGAGAGGGTGGTGAGGCACTGGAACAGGTTGCCCAGAGATGTTGTGGATGCCCCATCCCTGGATGTCTTCAAGGCCAGGCTGGATGTGGCTTTGAGCAACCTGGTCTAGTGCAAGGGGTCCCTTGGATGATCTTTAAGGTCCCTTCCAACCCAAACCATCCTATGATTCTATGATGGAATCTTCCCAGGGTACAGCGTTAGGTGTTCCTTGAGCCTGCTTTGTATCCTGGTGATGGGTTGAACAAATTTATGGGGTTTTGTAGTGTCTTAATATTACTTGGTTTGTATATAGTTTAACCTGTAATGTGTTTTTGCTGTTGTAGATGTTCTGGCTCTGGCGGCTGCCGTTAGAGAGCTGGCTGCTTCCACACGCAAGGCTCGTACCGCTTTATGGTGTGTGTTACAGATGACTTTGCCAAGGAACTCTCCAAGCGGTCCAGCAGAACAAGAAGTTGTTGAAAGGGCATTGCAAGAGCTTTGTCCTCTGAACACAAGGACGCAAGAAGGAGGCGGCACAGCGCATGACAGCAAAGGAAGCAAAAAAGAAAAACCTGAGGAACCCATGAGGAGTCTGGAATAATAGTAAATAATATTGATGAAAAGGAGGCAGGAGGATGAGGAGGGAAGGGCAAAGTGTCCTGCATTGTTCCATGGACGGTGTTCTTGGTCGGTTGTTAAAAAGGGTTAATATAACTGATCAGTGCTGCAGTTCTGTTACTGTGATTCTGGTGTCGAGAGGCACATCTTGTAATGGTGTTAATGCAATTTTAATATTGCTGGTATTGCAGTGTCTGCTACATAAGTTTTATTATTAAGAGGAGCTAAACACTAGCTGAGCATTTCCTTGTGTGCTTACCCAAAGCTATGTATCAGCTGTGAGTCAAGCCATGACCCAAGAAACCAATGTGTGGCAGAACTTAATTTTCCTTTTTTAATTAATGATAGAATTTATCAAACTTAAAAAAAAAAAATCAATTTGAAATGTATTTTGTAATTGTGCAGGGCCTATTTTTGCACCATTATCTAGTTCTTTTAAGTGCCAAAGCGGTCAGTAAGTAGTTTGCCTCCCCTCATTCTGTACCACAGTCCGCAGAGCAGTCCAGGCTGCTGGATCGTTCGTGTGACAGGCAGTCAGGTCGTTCAGGTTGCCACTGATGTTTTGGCAAGAATAAGCAGTGTTTAATGTGGGTTGTGTGAAATGCTTCAGCAGTTGTGCTGCCAGTTCAGTTTCTAGCTAAACCGGTGTAAACTGAGCTTTTCTATAGCAGAATCCATCTAAAATTTTCCATTAAAAAAAAGAGGGGTTTTGTAGATCTGCAGGAAGGACTGCGTTGAAGTACACGTTAGCAGGTGATACAAAATTGTCACTCAGGATTAGAAATTAGATTTATTGATTCCTCAGTGGGTTAAAAACCAGTAACTCTATAACATAAAATGCACTTAATTAAAAAAGATACTGTTTATTATTAATGTAAGTTCATGGTACTATAATTTTCAGAAACATTCCATATTTATTTTAATGAGTTTATTGAATGTTTATTTAAAATTCTATTTTAGTAATATAAAGTTGGATATTTTGCCAAATCTTCCGAATAATCAGATGTAACGATTTACTCAGGAAATATGTATATTACTATATAAATATACACGTGGTATATAGGGATTTTTTTGGGGGAAGGGATGTTTGCAAAATATTCACACAAAGCTGACTATATACTAGATTACCAAAGCTGTTTAATGGATTAATTTTTCGCATGAAGATTTAATATATTTGATTGCTGTTAACTAGTCTTCGTTCTGTGGCTTAGACAATCAGAAGTGTGACGTGTCTGTGTGAATGTTCAGGGTGAGAAGTAGAAAAGAATGAAGAATTCACGTTCTGTTTTTAGGGCACTTAAATATTTTAATGCTTTAACAACTGTCTTACTGTTACACGATCTCTTAACAAGTGCTAAAAGCCAACTAAGGTTCTTAGGTATCAGTATATCAATGAATGGTTTCAGAGAACACTTCTTGTCTGAAAAGTGATTTAATTGGGGATATAAATGAAGCTTGAAAGACAAAAGTGAAGATTTTTGTGTCCCATAGTGTTCGATGTTGAATTTGACTTTGTGGATAAATATGTAATTGTTTCCATATATATATGTACTTGCAAAATGTTCCAAATGCAGTTCTGTAGTGTTGGATCTGTGGCTGTTTCTAGAGCAGATGTCATCCCAATTGTACCCTCGTTAACTGTAATGAGGCACTAGCTACATACCTTTGTAGGCGAAAGTTACCCAAGGGGCATTGTGGTCCACTCGACCCAGTGTAAAAGCAAGAGTCGATGGGCTCAGAATCTTAGTATAGCAAGGTCTTTGTTTTCCTAAAGAAAGTGAATTCACCTTAAAATATTTTCAGCCTTAGCCTAAAAAACAGGTAGTGGAGAGAGTTGTTTTAGTGTGTTTTCTCTGTGTGCACGTGCAATTTGTTTGCACAAGCTAATTTAAGAAGGTTGTTTGTTTGTGTGGCTAATTAACTATACTCCATGGTTTAAAAAAGTGAGGTCTACAGTATTTCACTTAATGAATCATTTTGTCTTTTAATTAAGCTTACTGTTTTCAGGAAACCAGAATTTGGAAGTCTTGATCAACTTCCCCGTTTACAGAACGGCTGTAGTCCTGCAGGATTGTTTTGTGGTGGGGAGTGTATAGGGCACAGTAGTTCCTCATTGTATCACTCGTGTTAATTATTGCTGTGAAGGAACATGGTCTTCATCGGTTCATAATACAGTTCATGTGCCTTTAACAGTCTCATTTCTCAAAACTGATAAATGGCTGTACGCTCACTCCTGGTTTCACCCGCAGTTTAAGAGGGTGACGGCGTGGCTGCCTCTGGCTAGAGCCAGCAGTTAGCCTTCGCTGTTAACCTTGGCCGTGTGGGCTCTGTAACGAGCGTGGAGCATCGTAGCTGTGGAGAGTGCCCACAGCTCCAATGCATTAGTATCAGATTTTCCTCCTGGTGCCCTACAAGTGCAACCAGAAAGCTCTCTGATTTCATTTTGCCTTGCTCTGTTTTCTTTACAAAAACCCTGCTTCTTTATCAAAATGATTTGGTGCCCAGTGCTTTACATGCTTTAATTAGAGACACCATTAGACCTATAAAGACAACAGTCATTTCAGAATGCTTCAGTTCTGTTGCTTTATCACACACCCTTCTTATGTTTCAGGGGGAAAAAACACTCTTATTTTGTAAAATAACCACCTGGAGTTGCAGCAGCTCTGTTAGTCCTATTTTTTTTTTTAGCTGCCTAGTGTTTAATGTGGCCACATGGTACAAATTCTTTAAGTATTGCACTGCATTCTTGGTACGAATGCTACTTCTGCTTTTTGGGACTGATTGTGTTCACACTTGGCTGACTTGAGTGAGAGCAGAGTTAAGGTATCAGGCTACACGTAAGCCAAAGAAGTGTTCTTGTTTTAGAGTTGGGTTTGATTTTTGATTCCCCACCCCCTCATTTGTGCAGCAGCCAGGTAAAATTTAGTTTATACCCTCCTTTCCCTCTCCCCCTGGGTTTGTTGAGATGTAACTGTTCTCTTTTTTCCCGTTCTGATGTTTAGATTTTTGAACGAGGTGGAGAAGATAGCCTAGTTGTTGCTAGTCAGGGCAGCAGTGATTCCGGATGGCTCCAGTTTAAGCAAACAGGATACTTGAGAGTCCGTTCTCGATACTTGAGAGTCCGTTCTCGAGTCAAGATTATTAGGGTGTATGTTTTGACAGTCGGTAGTGAATCTTTAATGTTTAAAAATCCCAAATTGATAGTCCAGTACAACATAGATTGAAGAATTACATTTATTTCTATATAAATAACTGGAGGCTTCTGGTGATTGAACCTTGATTCCCAGAAGAGTGGCAGCATCAGAATAAGAAGGGGTTTTTCTGGTTATGGGTTTGGTATCTCTGCTGCTCTTCTGTATCCGCAGGGTCCTGCTGGCAGTGAAATGAGTCTGATGGCATCTGTAGAAACTAAACCTAAAAAAATGGTGTTATTTTGCCATTGTTTTGGGTTTTTTGCAGACTGCACGTTCTTCTTTGCACTTGGTATTTACCGCTGCTACTAATCTTTCTGTCTGTACCTGGATATGTATAATTTGGAAATTATTTGCCTTTGATCTTGGAAACTGATGCTCTGGTCCTCATAATAAGTTTCAGATCATTATTCCTGGTACCTTTTCTCTCTGAAGTAAGTGAATAGTGGATGATGGAGATTGTCAGTGGGAGGCTTTGAGGTACTTCCTGGCCCTTTAGCCTTTACCGCCTTTTTGGAGGTAGTGCAGAATTTTGTGGAAGGCTGTAACTGTAGTCCTATGCACTTTTCCAGAAGTGCCCATGAGCACAGCTTCCTTATGTTTCAGCTGCTGTGCAAGCCTTCTCCTATTCAATCTGGGGAATAAAGAAGGAAAGGGGAGCTACAAGAAGAAAGGAAACACCCAGCCACAGGAAACCCTACTTCCAGTGGGCAGTATCACTCCTCTTTCTGGCTCCTCTGCTCAGCTGGCTGTGAGCAGCCTTTCTTCCCTTCAGCTGTGTTTCCCTCCTCCCCATCTGCTGCCCGTAGATGCTGTCAGGGTTCAACTGCTGAGTCTTGTGGCAGAGTTACCTCATTCTTCTCCCGCTCTGGGAGCCATCCTTCTGGCCTCGTGTGTTTTAATCCTGTAGAATCAAGCTGTGTACCAGATTGAGGGGCTAAACAGGGCATGGGAAGAGCTGGTGCAAACCAGCTGGCCGTGGTCCTCCCTCTGGGATCAAGATCACCATGTCTGTCCTCTCATCTGCTGTCTGGAAGGGAAGAGAATGAAGTAGGGTATAAGCCTAGCTTTCCTAGGCTTAGAGAATGACAGGTGGCAAGGAATACCACAAAACTTCCCTGGAACCTTTAGTTTTTTAGATCTTCTCTTCCTCAAGTGACAGCATTCAGCTTTGCTCCTGTGGTGTTCTCAGATGCACAATTTCTGTTAGGCCATAGCCCTAATTCTGTAGGAAGCTGGATTTTTTGTTTAAATGCTGTAGGGATTATGCAACAGACAGACCTTAAGCCTATATCTATGTTTTTAAATGCTACGCTGTTACCTGCTCTGAAAGCTGGTTCCCATCCCCAGCCCTCTGTTTGGGAGCTGCGACGTCAAAACACCGCATGTTGGAGCAACCCAGATCAGCAGGGCTTTGGATTTTTTGTTCTTTGTATCTTTATTGCTTTGGCAGTGTACATGGTCTTAATTTAAAACTTAGGTTGGCCACTCTGATTTAATGGATTTAATTTTTTTTTTGTAATAGTCACTAAAGTGGAAAAACTTGAGTTCCCCATTATGTACCTCTTCACATTTGTACATTACGTTGGCCAAGAACAGGGAATGCTGCACATCAGTGACTATATGAGAGCAGCTGGCTTTCAAACCTGTCTTGATGGTCATCTGTCAGTAGGTGTGTTTGCCATTAGGCTACTGAAGAGATGGGTGTGCTCCTTCCCTTGAAGCCAGCAGCTCTAACAGGATTTTCTCTTTATCCGGCTGCTTTGCTTTCCTGGCATGATGTCTGGAGTTA